TTTGTTATTATGTTGTTTAATTGCTCTCTGCTCACTCTCTCTCTAGAGAGAGAGAAACAGATGGCACTTAACAACGATGTTGTTGTTAAGTGCCATCGAGTCGGTTCCAACCCATAGTGACCCTGAAATGGGTTACCGAGCCTGCTGACCTTGCAGTTCACAGTCTGATTCATAACCACTACGCTACCAGAGCACCTTAACAACTATATATATATACATATGGAGCTCTGGTAATGTAGTGGTTATGAATTGAGCTGTCAGAAGTTCGAAACTACCAGCTGTTCTGCAGGAGAAAGATGAAGCGTTCTGCACCTGTAAAGATTTACAGCCTCGGAAACCCTGTACAGGGTCGCTATGAGTCAGAACCAACTCCACAGCACATAACCACCACTATATACATATATATATATATTGTTGTTGTCAGTTGCCATCGAGTTGATACCAACTCATAGCGACCCTGTACACAACAGAATGAAACACTGCCCGGTCCTGGGCCAGCCTCACAATTGTTGCCACACTTGAGCCCATTGATGCTGCCACTTGGCCAATCCATTTCACTGGTGGTCTTCCTCTTTTTCTCTGACCCTCCACCTCATCAAACATGATATCCTTCTCCAGTGACTGGTCCCTCCTGACAATATGTCCGAACTATGAGAGATGAAGTTTGGCCATCCTGGCCTCCAAGGAGCACGCTGGCTGCACTTCTTCCAACACAGATCTGTTGGTTCTTTTGGCAGTCCATGGCACTTTCAATAGTCTCCTCCAACACCATAACTTAAAAGCATCAATTCTTCTATAGTCTTCCTTACTCACTGTCCAGCTTTCATATGCATATGAAGTTATTGAAAATACCATGGCTTGGGTCAAGACCACCAAAAGTTTGGGTTTCATGACAGCAGTGGTGTGGGGTCTATAAACAATGTGAAATATAAGATAATTCCAAGCATGCTGGGCATGTTACTTCATTATCTCACTAAAACCCCCTAACTTAAGCATGAGGTAGGTCCTGTTTAAAGTTTGTTGTTGTTGTTGTTAAGTGCTGTCAAGCCGGTTCCCACTCATAATGACCCCATACAAGATTTCCTAGGAGTGGCTAGTGGTTGTGAGCCACCGACCTTGTGGTTCAAAGTGGCCTTGTGGTCCAGTGTTTTATCCTACAGCACCACACTAGGACTCTAATTTTTATAAACTAGGGAATGAAGACACCGAGAGCTCAATATAGTGGACGAAAGTCACCCAGCTCCTCAGTAGTGGTGATGGTGTTAAGTGCTGTCAAGTCGATTCTGACTCATAGCAACCCTGTAACAGGTTTCCAAGGAGCGGCTGGTGAGTTTGAACCCCCGACCCTGTTCTGCAGTACCACATCAGGGACAGAAATCATGCCTTTCCATCTCCAATTCCTAAGCTCTTCCCACCACACAGCTCTTTTTCATCTGGTGCTCCAGGACAGCGAGGTTAGAGTCAAGGTTAGACACTGTAGGTAAAGGTGGATTTTGGTCTTGGTGAGAGGAGGGTCTTAGAAGGTCAACCCAACCCAAGATGGAGGGAACTTCCTGGAAGACCCCCATCACAGTAGGTGTGTGGTCACAGCCTGCCAGCCCACCTACGAGAAAAAGGCGTTATCATTGGTGATAATGGGGCAGAATAAACACTGGACTGCTAACCGTAAGATTGGTGGTTCAAACCCACCAGCTGCTCCTTGGAAACCCTACACTGGGTTGCTATGAGTAGAAACTGACTAGACTGTACTTAACAACAACAACAATCGCAAGATTGGTGGTTCAGACTCAATCAGAGGAGCCTTGGAAGAAAGACCTGGGGATCTACTAGGGGATCCATTCTATGCGGACACACCTGGGGTCACTCCGAGTCAGAGGTGGCAACTGGTATTTAATGGCAGCGAAGACTGTATGAAATTAGATTGTTTTCTTCCTCATTGCCATTTCTTAACGTGATTTTTCTGTTTCTAAACACACATTCCAAGAGGCCAGAATGTTTGGGTGGCAGCATGCATAAACCAAAGGGGAAATGTGGGCTCTGAGGGTCTCTGTTACTCCGTGCCAGTAGTTTAGGTTCTGTCTGTGCCAGCTGGTCCGAGTTCACAGGCCAGAAGAAGTGAACAAGGACCCAGCTCCCTGGAAGTTGGTTCTGGTGAACTCGGCTGTTGTTGGGTGTCCCAGTCGGTTCTGGCTCTGAGGGACCCCATGTGACCCCATAGGGTTTTCTTGGCTGGCGTCTTTACAGAAACAGATCGCCAGATCTTTCTCCCTCAGAACCCACTGGGTGGGTTCGAAGTGCTGACCCTTCTTTTGGTTGTCAGCCCAACGCTTAACCATTGTGCCACCAGGGATCATGGGTGGGCTCAAGTACTGCTTCCCCAAAAGCTTTGGGCTGCTGGTTTCCATTAGCCTTGCCCCGACCCCCTGACAACCCAAAGGAGCTGTTGGTAAATGCTGTCGAGTTCAACCTTTGCGTCGTGGTTGTAAGACAGCATATGGATCTGCATGCCGCTCCTGGATTGCCCCCAATTTCTAGACAGCCCAGAGGCCGTTGGAAAAAGGACCCCCACACCTAACAGGGATTGCTCTGTAAACATCACGTTCTTCTGATCAGAGCCTGAACACACCTCAACACATGAAGTGAAGCTTTCATTACTCATGCGGCGCGCAACTGGAAATGGTCCATTGCAGGCAGCCCCCTCCTCAGAAGCTGTCTAGGCAGAGAGAATGCCTGTGCCTCACTTTGTGTCATGGGGTTCAATGGGAACTTAAGTGAATTCTGAGCTAAGCATCTCCCCACCTCAGAAAGTCAGGGATGCTTGACACAGTAGGCTGTTTGATGTTGTGGTGTGGTGCCATTGACTCAGTTCCAACAGAACAAAACACTGCCTGGTCCTGTAACAGCCTCACAGTTGTTGATAAGCTTCAGCCCATTACTGCTGCTCATCTTCCCCTGGCCTGGTGGGTCCACTCAGGTGGACTGTAAGCATATGCTTTGTACACTCCACCTGCACCCTAGTTGAGGGGATCCAGAAAACATCTCCTTTCAGCTATCTATACCCCCAGACTTAGTGACTAATTGTAATCTGTTTATGTGTAAGAAAGCTGGACAGTGAATAAGGAAGACCAAAGTAGAGTTACTGCCTTTGAGTTGTTGCATGTCAATTTACCCAGATGACCGCTCAAGACTCTCAGGATCGATAAGGAAGCCTTTATTAGCTGGCCAGCGACTACAGCCTCCCTAAAAGCGGGAAAAACTGCAGCCCCGACCTAGTTTTTCAAAGAGTATTTATACGTAGGCAGTCTGATGTTATCTTGTACAAACCAAGGCTATGATGTATGCATGAGCAGTTAGGGTGGGGGCTAGGAGAACATCAGCTGGGACAGTTACTTCTCAAGATTAACTTGGGGCTAGGGGTACATCTGCTGGGACAGTTAGTTTTCAAGATTAACTTTGGGCGTTGTTCTCAAGGTCAGCCTTGGCCGCTGCCCACAGTATCCTGTGAGTCAGGCGGGCCCACTCAGAGGTGAGGAATTTGCATACGCAGTGTTACAGAAGCCAAGTTCATCCAGAGTTAAGGGGGAAGGGGGTTTCTGCATCCAGGGGAGTTGTTGATGCTAAAAATTTCCCACTTCAGCCTGATCCTTTTTTAAAAATTAGTTACTCTAGGGCAGTTGGGACTTACAGAGTGAGAGTGTTGCAGAAGACTGTTGGAGGTACCATGAACTACCTGGAGAACAGACACATCTGTGTTGGGAGAAAGAAGTACATTCCGAATGCTCCTTAGAAGCCAGGTTGGTGAAACTTGTATCATGTACTTTGGACAGATCTTCTGGAGGGACCAGTCCCCGGAGAAGGACTTCATGCTTGGTGAAAGCAGAATGTCAGAGAGAAAGCGGAAGGTCCCCTAATGGGTTGGCGCAGTGGCAGCAGCAATGGGCCCAAACTTATCAATCATTATGAGGATGACACAGGACCGGGCAGTGTTCTGTTCTGTTGGAACCCACTCAACAGCGCCTAACAACAATAGCAAATACACTACTGTATAATGCATCCCTAATTTCCTGAGGTGGGGAGACAGCTCAGAATTCATTCATTTTAACATTGCAAATAGACTTCAGGCCTTGGAGTGAGGGGCTTATTTAGAGGTCCGCAGATGGCAGCAGGGAAGGGAACTAGGAAACCTTGGACCTTGGCTTCTCTGATGGATTTGCTCCACTCAGCATCTCTGTTCTTCCTCCTGCTCAGCAAGAGACATTGGTCCCACCAGACAGTGCCGGGCCGGGCTGTGTTCCTTGTGTCCTGGGCACTGGGCAGAATATTCTGGAGGGCACTGAGGTGGGTGTGAGTGGATGGACCGGGTCTCTTACAGGGTATGCATGCAGGCTGGTGTCCACTTCATGAAAGATGGACGGACAGAAGGGGAGTATGCAGAAGTAACGGTTTTGGCATGGGATTGTTGGAGATCTCTCTCCTCTTACAAACAGCTCCTCCAGTGTTGTCTTATCGCGTTGCCATTTAGAAAGGAACTGGCGAGCAGAGGGAGGTCACCATGGAGATTGTGTTATCTCCCCAGAGCAGAGACGCCAGGATCAAGAGAACGCTGCCCCCTATGGGGTCTCGATGAACATGTCATCGGTGCAGCCCAGTGTCACTGTAGAGAGGACAAGGGTCTCTGAGAGGCAGGGTTGTGTGGTGTCCCATGGAAGAAGTCAGTGGGTACACTGTGTGTATCCACCGGTGAGCCAGGGTCTCCTGAGGTTCCAACCCACCAGCCGCTCCGAGGGGGAAAGACGCAACACTTGACTTCCATTAACCCTGTCCTTTAGGGTCACTGTGGGCAGTGGATCAGGGTGGCCACCTGAGAGCATCCCCTTAACCCTCAAACCCCGTGACTTGTGTGTTTAATTCCTTGGGCTTCCCCCTCAGGTGTCAGAAAGACCCCCAGCGCCCTCCACACACATTCAGGATCTGAGGAGTGGCATTGGTCAGCACGAGCCATGTCGGGCCTGGACTTTGAGGAGCTGGCCGAGATCGGTAAGCACACACTGTCCTCTCTCCCTCTCCCTCTCTCCTCCTGGGAGGCAGAGATCCTTGTTGTACTTTATTTTTTAAATAGATGGTGCATTCATGTGGTTTCAAAAATATCACCCTGAGACATCACCCTTCCACCCATACTGCTGTCTGGATCCTGCTGTGTACCCCCTTTCTCCACTGTTGTTGTTAGGTACCATCGAGTCGGTACCAACTCACAGCGACCTGATTCACAGTAGAACGAAACACTGCCCAATCCTGGGCCAACCTCACTACTGTTGCCATGCTTGAGTCCATCGACACTGCCACTTGGCCAGTCCATCCCATTGGGGGTCTTCCTCTTTTTCTCTGACCCTCCACCTTACTAAACATGATATCCTTCTCCAGGGACTGCTCCCTCCTGACAATATGTCCAAAGTATGAGAGACGAAGTTTGGCCATCTTGGCCTCCAAGGAGCACTCTGGCTGCATTTCTTCCAACACAGATCTGTTGGTTCTTTTGGCAGCCCAGGGCACTTTCAATATTCTCAGGGATGGAATTGTGGTCCTCAAAATAAGTGTTGGAATTTTAACCATATTTCTGTAGAAAGGGACCCTGGTGGCTCAATGGTTAAGTGTCTGGCTGCTACCCAAAAAGTTGGTGGTTCAAACCCAACAGCTGCTCCGTGGAGAAAGGGCTAGTAATCTGCCTGTGAAGATGACAGCCTGTGAAACCCTGTGGGTGAGTGTCCCGTCTCATGGGATTGGTATGCACTGGAGGTGACTGGATGGACTCTAACGACAGCATACCGGCAGATGGGATTCCGTGTGGAAACAGCGTTTTCTGTGTTTGGTTAATGAGACTATGGCATTGCAGGGAGGTCATAAACCTCATCACTTCTGAGTTCTAAGGAAGCAGCAGAGACACAGAGGAGCCCTAGTGTGGGTTGTAGGGTCAGCACTGGGCTGCTAGCCACAAGGTTGGCAATTCAAACCCTATACAGGGTCACTATGAGTCGGTTCTGATTCAACGATACTTATAACAACAGTACACACAGAGACAAGTAAGCGGGGAGAGAGATGGCACAGAACGGTCACCAAGGAACCAAGGGCTGCCAGGTACAAGAAGCACAGGAGTGCCTGTCCCAAGCCGTGGCCCTTTCAGTGGCTTTATATACATGCAGACCCTGCACAGTGAACCTGGAAGATGAGAAGAATCGATGCCTTTGAATGATGATATTGTTGCAATCAAGATGTATTGCTCATTACTGGTGATTGGAATGCAAAAGTAGGGAGCAAAGAGGAAAGACCAGTAGTTGGAAAATTTGGACTTGGTGATAGAAATGATACTGGAGAACGAATGATAGATTTCTGCAAGACAAATGATTTGTTTATTTCAAATACCTTCTTTAGACAGCATAAGAGACGACTAT